TGTAAAACAAAAAGGAACTCAAACAGATGCAAAAACATCTAGTTAGATTTCAATGGTAGGGCTTTTCTTTTAGCATCTCCCTCAAATGCTGTTAATGCTAGTCACAATCAAATGCTTTGATTGCGTATTTTAACATTTTAATACATGAGATAGTAAATTTTGGAGTGCTGTGTGTCTTTGGTCTACATTCGGCACTGGTTGAATGGGGGGGGACTAGATTAAGGCCACAAAGCAAGGCGACACATTCTCACCATCGTTCATAGAAAATGGTGTATACTTACAGCAGTCTTGTTTTGTAATGAAGGATACATAGTAATGGAGCATCCTTTATTTAAAATCTCCCATTTTTATAGCTTTCAGTGTAAACACAGATTGTACCTGTCAAATTGTATTGTAAAAAATGTGTGAATTAGTCCAGTATTTCCCTAACTGGGCATCGGGACACCCACAAGAGGTCGCAAGATGACTCTAAGAGATCATTATATTTTATAAGAATCAAGATAATTATCAGTGTACTGTGAGAAATAAGACAAAACAACATTCTACTCCGTGAAAGTTTTCTCTCGTTATTTCATTTTTCTTGAGAAATGTAATTATACCTCTTGCACTCTTATTTTTTTTTGTCTTACTCTGATTTATTCCACTTTAGCTTCAGTTTGTTAATTTTTTTGCCTAGTTTATACTTTTGTGTCTTACATGAAACACTTTCATGTTGAAGGTGGTATGTAAATAAACTTGCTCTTTGAATAAACATTTCCTAGTTGCAGCTCCTCAAATTTGCTCTTTTTCTCTGTTTTTATGTATTTGTAAATTGAATTTATTTTAGATTATGGAGTGATGATCAGACAAACGAGCTGTTACGTTACATTGACCCCCCGGAGAGTGTACCAGGCATTTTTCACTACATTTTATAGACTGCATTAGTTATAGAAATGAATGAATTCTTAATTACAGCCATACTTTCTATTCAAACGTGTATGAGTTAATTGCCTGAAGTTGAAATGCATATAAAGATCACAAAATGCATTCCCCATCATCTGTTATTAATATTTTAGAGACTCTTGAGACGTTTGAAATGTGAATATTACTCTTTGGTGTTATTTTTCTGACTCTTGTGATCACATCCAATTGTTGAAATCTCCCCTTGATCCAAAGGCTGGCATTCAGCACTTTTTTCAACAGTGTGTAATGTGACAAGAGACAGATTTTTAGTGTCATTTTATGTCGCCAGCCTCTGTCTGAACATCCCCTTCTTCCATCCATCTGCCCTTTTAAAGATGATTTCTCCGACAGCTGCGACACACAGATCAAAGAATGTGTCAGATTAAAATTAGGGGACGTGGTCACAGTGCTGAGGAAACATTTGGAGCTCTGGCTCAGTGGTGCTGTAGCAATTAGAAATGATTTCCCTTAATAACACAGGTTTGTTTTTACCTCTGTCCAGTGTGTGCAATACCGACATGTATTATTAATGCTGAGCTCCAGCTTGATCAGTCACTGTGACTTAATCTGCCTCAGGCAATAGTGGTTTGCAAATGTGAGTATGATATGATGTGTTGGATAATGGTTCTTTCTCATCCCCTGCTACATAAAATGGTCTGTAAAGTGTGTGAAATTGTTGTGGACACAGATATGTGTGTTCTGAGATCATTACAATATTTGCCCATTGGATGGATAGTAATGTCGATGTTGTTCACTCCACCTCTTTGGTCCAGGCTGAAATTCCAACAATTATTGGATGGATTGAAATTTGGTACAAACATTCATGTTCCACTTAGGATGAATTGTAATAACTTTGGAGAGCCTCTGTCATTTATTCTAATGTCTGTTAGAATGTTAAAATTTAAATTTGAATAAAACCAGTAAAATTAAGTACATTCCCATTACCTCACCTCAGCTGCACTTTGTGAGCATTGTAAGCATCGTTGACATGACTGTATAATGGACATGGTAAGCACCAGTTGTTTTGATACTTTTGCGATGGAAATGTATGTGCTTCATCTGACAATTTACATTGTGTTGCAAATATATTTTTTGTGACGGTGAATTGTGAATGAACTGTGAATATACTGTTCCCAACTCTAAATAACTGAGATCAGCTTGTGGGTATTTGTAAACGGTTTTAAAACAGGCCACAAAATTTCAAACCAATTGACCCTTCGCTTAGCCACGCCCCAGATACTTAGCTGGCCAATCACAGCGCAGTATAGGACTTGCTCTAACTGCGGTCCGACACTTTCATGGCTGGGCTCCATTGACTCTAATGCAAAATGAGTCTTTTTTTTGCTGTATTTTTCCAAGATATGGTCAAGGCTGTTCCTGGGGCACTTTTAATAGTTACAGTCGCTACCTAGAGAGGTGGAAAGTAGAGGTAAGAAAGTAGGTCCAAAACCTAAAACAAATCCAGGAAAATGTTGGCTGTCTGTTGTTTCTAATGTAATCTTAGTTAGTTAACGCTAGCTAACTTACTACTGAATTCAATGTTATATAACTCTACTGTTCTGCTTTTAATGATTGTAATAGTAAACAGAGACCTACCCAGCAGTACAGAAGCAGTGTTGATCCTTAATATCGTTGTCCTCTTTCTCAGTAGTCAGTAATAATTCAGTAATGGTTCACTTTTACTCTGTGATCGGTAGGCTTGAGCTTCTCTTTATTTTTTTCACGTCAGTTTGAATAGCCTGAAAATAATCTTCAAAAGCACAATGCAACTGCTAAACTGTCTGCTTCTTCCTAAGATTGCTTTTTCCAAAAATGAGACAATATTTCTCCAGGGACTGCAGTTATAGACAGTGGCAGCGCCGTGCTAAAAGTCCCAACAGGTCTGACAGTTTGTTGGACTTAGCAACAGTAACAAAGGGGGGCGTGGCTTAGCAAAGGGGTCAATTACCAGGCAGTTATTTCACAAGTTTCATATCTCTGCAACTTGATTGTACCTAGATACAGTGTCTTACTTGCATAAAGTGGAACCACGATAAAGGCTTTCACCAGTCTGAGAAATCATTGTGCAGTATGATTTTTAAAAAGCTGGGATGTAAAATACTATACTATAACTATACTTCATTGACAGCTAAATGTGCAAAACACCAGTGTGGTCAGGGAACCAGCACAGTGGGTCAACCTCATGGTCCTTCAAACTCACCTAAAAGCATTTTCATTATTCTGGGATTCAATAGGCCATTATGCTCAAGCTTTTCAATCCTTCAAAGAAAAATGTTTCCAAAAGAAAAGCTTATTCCTGGTGATTTTTGACATGGAAATTGACACATTTTATTAGCAAATTCAGGTGACGTATTTCTTTATTATAGCTTTATTTTTTTTGTTGTTGAATTGTAACATTTGAGTCAAGAATATTTTGCCCTCTTTCTGGTCAAGTTTTTGTATGTTTGTGTACTTCCTACCCCAAAGCTAATTAATTTTTATTAATTTGATGTTATTCTGAACTTGTCTATTTGTTATATTACTACAATAACTGTACTTTTTTTCAAGTGTTTGTGTCTATTTGCTGTTTTTTTTCTAAAACAATTTGGCAACATTTTTTGTATGGAGACTGATAGATAAATATTATTGTTAATACTTGTTGCACTAATAGTTCTTGCAGAAATTGTCAGTTAATAGTTTTATTTAAACAGACTGAGACCTGGGTATGAAAAACAAATGAAAAGGATAAAAGCTCAGGCACCATAAACACAACTCACAGTTACCATTTTCATACACATCAGACAAATTTGTTCCATACTAAAGAAATAAGTGGCAGTGATGTTTGTATAATTTTTCGAAAAAATCTTTTAAGTTTCAAAATTTCTTGCAGCTCATTCTTTTTGTAAGCAACAAAGAATACTTGTTATACTGAATACATATAGTTATCAATGACTTATATAGCCGTGGTCAATCATTCCTTTTCTTCTGTCCCCTGTTGCAGCCCACTAGCATTATGGTCTATAGCATCTTACATGGCTTTTAGCTCAGCATGTGCTATAGCTGAACATTATGAATATTGAATATTTCTACCCTTTCAACTCAGCAGCCCCTGTGAAATGTTTTATCCTGCTTTACTATCTGATCTTGTCTCCATTGTATGTCTATAGAATAAAATAAAATATATTTCTGTTGCTGCTGCAGCCAAAAAATTGTTACATCACATATAAAACGACAACTGCAGCATGAACACAGACAGGTTTAACAGAGGGATTAAACATCACACGTAAGAAACCCAGTCCTGTAGCTAAAATATCACAGCTATGATCCTCATAGCAACCAATGTGTCCATCAACTGCCATGTCTTGTCAAAGGCTTCCTGTGCTCCCACAAATCGTTTTTGAAGTCGATGTTAAACCAAACTTACCAAAATGAAACTTCACGCTGAGAATGCTCTTGCTAGGTACAAGGCAACTTTATTTTGTACAGCACCTTTCAACACCAAGACATAAAAAGCATTACGAAAAGAAATATGTTGCCTGATATATTGCCTTTTGCTTTTTATCCTCAAGCCATGCATTCGGTGGTGAAGTGAGTCATATACAGTATGTAGGAGATGCTATGATGAGCATTGATGGATGAAATTAGGCTGAAATGAATTGCAGGAGGCATCTGCTGTAAATATGCTGGTCTGATGATCAGAAGCCACACTATTGTTAATCAAAGGCCTGAGGGAGTTAAGAATCTGCTTTGCTTAGTTATTTATTATATTGGGGTTTTTTATCTATCTCAGCTACGCTCTTCATCCTTTAAAGGTGAACAGTTGCAGCCTGCAGGAAAAAGTTCAAAATGTGTCAAGATGACATTATATATTCTCTCAGTTTTTTTTGTCAGAAGATGCAAGAAAATCTTATTTTTGGTACCTTCTTTTCCCTTTATAGCACCAAGTTTTATTTGTGTTTCGCCTTCTCTTTTTTTTCAAAATGTATACAAGATGTGTTTCTGCTCCAAGTTGAACTTACTACAGGCAAATACTCACAACATGATGGTTTGGTTTGATTTAAAGTTGTTTTCCTTTGCAGGTGAGGATGACCGCCTGGCGCTCAAGGGCAAAGTGACCGTTGGAGACCTCTTTAGAAAAGACTTCAAGGTTCATGACCCTAACGCCAAATGGATAAGCAGTAAGTAATCCCATTAAATTTAAGGGTATCTGTGTATTGAATTAGAGCTGGATTTGAGCATGTGCATCAAAACGGAAAAAGGCAAGAGACAGATTCCATCTTAAATGTGGGAAAGGCAAGAGAAAGGAATATTGTTTATCTCTGTCTAAGGTTTTAATAGGCAGCTGTTTGCCAACATCTCAGCTTAGCAACTATTTAAAGAAGTGTTTCAAAGCTTTGATGAATTTATTCTGGAGTCTCTCTGCCTCCTAGTTGTTTAGACTTGCTTCACGCGTCTTCATGCAACTAATTTAAAAGGCAACTTTGAAATCCTATTTTGCAAAAGGCAGAAATCTTCATGTTGTCTTGTTTGCTGACAGTCGTCTTTACCAGTTGTTGACCAATCAGAAATACTTGATCCCTGAGGGGAAATTCCCATGTTAGTTGTACACATTGCACATCAAGACATAGGAACAGAAATAATAATAGAAAGAAGGTAGATAAAGAAATATTTAACAATAAAGGTATAAATATATAAAGGAGTATGGAGATGTATAATATGTACATAATTAAAGAAATGTAATGGAGAACAGTAACAGTGAATGAATAACAGCAGAATTGCAGCATAGTGTTCCACATTAATTATTGACTGATAATGCTTAACAAAAATAGATAATATCCAGTTGAATCAAGAAGGGCAGTTCTTAAATTGGTCCTAAGGAAGAACTGACATCAAAGATTTGGTTGTATTTTAGATGCAGAAGAGCATACTCTAGCACAGACAAAACAGGCATGATAACAACGCACAACTACACAGCCAAGCTGTTCCAACACCTCGAGAAACGAGGGTGAGAAGTTGCATGAAGAATACATAGTGACCAAACCAAATAAAACTGTTCAGGTAGCTCCAGAGTTCAGCTTCAAAACCCAATAATGCCTCATGAAACGGCTTAAAGCACCTGAAAGATGTTTCGTAAATGGCAACTAGTGATAATGTTGCACTTATTAAAGGTATTGATGGATGTATTTTGAAAACAACCTGTATGATTTGTGTGTGTGGAGATATCTACATTTCTAAATATTTATCTATAGATAGGTGGACCCTTAGGCAAGGTCCTTAATGCTACCAGCCTACCTCAGGCATGAGTGAAATATAAAATATGTATTATACTAATGTATAATGTTGCTACTATTGATATATTACAGCTTTAAGCTATTTAAAATGACAAAAAATAGGCATCAATGTGTATCACACCACAGCAAACTAAAATGACGAGTGTTGCTCTTTCATTGATTTACACCATCTATCACTCTTCTGTCTGCCAACTGTTTGTGTACATTGTTTGTGTGTGTGTGTGTCCTTGCTGTCTGACATTCCTCCAAAAGATTTAGTCCATATGCTTCAATGGCTATCCAATTACCTGTAACCACAACCTTTGTTTTTTTTTCTGTGATCAATGACAGCGTGTGGATGCTGCTATTGTTACAGTTCATCACCACCAATTTTAAAGGCTTGTTTTTTAATAAGAGGACTGTGACAGTATAAACACTGACAGCACCACGGGGAGCCAATGAGAGAAAATTATATACTTTATTTTGTATCTCAGCGCGACATTGAAGAGAATAATCACAGCTCCAAGATGTGAGGAATCTGTACAGCTGAAGGATTAATGAGGTGGATTTTGTCGTCTCTTATGCCCGCAAAGCTGTCCCCTCCAATCACAGGAACTAAGATGGCTCCTAGAAGCGGCACAGCTGTTAAATCTCGTCTCACATCCTGAAATCGCAAAGCCTTCCCCTCTATGATTGGCTGTAATTAGAAAGCTGAAAGCCCATATTTATTATATTAGTAACAGGAAGATGCCATTCCTCTGGATCTCAGATGACGAGCTGGGTAATTGTCTGGCATGATTTGTGTGTTGGTTTAGCTACAGGTCCCCATCTGTGCTTAAGGATGAGCCGTCTCTCAAGTGGCTGATTTCTCACCATTGGTAGCTGTGACCCACAAAAGTTGTAAACACATGGCTCACGCTTGAATGAGCCTCGGTGAACATCACAAATTGTGGAAGTACTGTTCACATCTGGAATCTAACATCTGTTCTTCAGCAATTAGAAGCATATTTCTAATAGCAACATAGATTGAATTACATAAGATCATTATCATTGGGGGAAATTAATTGTGGTTATTATTTACTTGTTACAAGATATTCCCTTAACTTAATACTGTTGTACAATATACACAAAGAAAAGAGGTACTTTAGAGAAAGGACCATTGTACTAATCCATACACGCAGCTAACAGCCACCAGGAAACAAGACTCGTCATTAGAAAGCAATCCGCTCTTTCATCTCCTCCTTTTTGTGCTGATGACAGTACCATCCTTAATCTCAAGGTATTTTTAGTGTATCATTAGATACAGCTGACGAGGAGTGAGAATGACAGAGAAAGAGGGAGAGAGATACATCAGCTGATTATTTTGTCTTTGTTAGTGTGTAATTTGTACTAGACCCAGTGCTCGACCAACCTGAATGCTTTCAGGGCTGTCTATAGGATTTGCAGTAATGGCTTCCCTGGTTGGGGGCTGAAATTGAATTTTTTTCAAACCTCATTTAGCCCAGTTTTATGTTTTCACTACCACTGGCTGTCTCCACCTATCAATCATTTCCCTGGAGACCGACTGGATATAACCTCTGGAATCCCTAATGATCATATATTAGGCTATCTTTACCCGAAAAAATTGCTTTCTCATGTCTTGTCCCACAGCATTAGCTTAAATATATTCTGTACTTAAGTATCATTTGGTGCTCTTTATCTGTTTCTCCCAATGGTTGCAGAGATTATGAGCCCTGCCTGTGCAGCCAGTGGATCATCATTTTATTACAACTTTATTTTTAGTCATTTTGGTTATCTGTAATGACATTGTACTCTCCAAGATCTGGGTATACAGCAACACTGCTAAATAGAAGAGCAAGAAACTTGAGCAGTCAAACAATCATACATGCTTTAAACAAACTCCTGAATCCAGGTTACCTTTTGTTTAAAAAACCAAGAGGCTGTCTTGATTACTTCAGGTGGACATGAGACGATGGAACGTGGGTCTGAATAATTGGTCCATTTGGTTGAAGGCTTATTACGCTGAACAAAATTATAAACGCAACATTTTAGTTTTTGCCCCCATTCATCATGAGCTGAACTCAAAGATCTAAGACTTTCTCTATGTACACAAAAGGTCTGTTTCTCTCAAATATTGTTCACAGATCTGTCAATCTGTGTTAGTGAGCACTTTTCCTTCTTCTTGCCGAAATAATTCATCCAATAGGTGTGGCATATTAAGATGCTAATAAGACAGCATGGGTATTGCACATGTGTGCCTTAGGCTGACCACAATATAAAAGGCCACTTCAAAATGTGCAGTTTCAGTGTGTTGGAGGGGGTCCGGAAACCAGTCAGTATCTGGTATGACCACCATTTGCCTCACGCAGTGCAACACATCTTCTTCGCATAGAGTTGATCAGGTTGTTGATGGTGGCCTGTGGAATGTTGGTCCACTCCTCTTCAATGCGAAGTTGCAGTCAGGTCGACACCCCGACGAGGACGAAGAGCATGCAGATGAGCTTCCCTGACACGGTTCCTGACAGTTTGTGCAGAAATTCTTTGGTTATGCAAACAGATTGTTGCAGCAGCTGTCCGGGTGGCTGGTCTCAGACGATCTTGGAGGTGAAGATGCTTGATGTGGAGGTCCTGGGTTGGTGTCGTTACACGTGATCGGCAGATGTGAGGCCGCTTGGATATACTGCCAAATTCTCTGAAACGCCTTTGGAGACGGCGTATGGTAGAGAAATGAACATTCAGTTCACGGGCAACAGCTCTGGTGGACATCCCTGCAGTCAGCATGCTGATTGCACGCTCCCTCAAAACTTGCGACATCTGTGGCAATGTGCTGTGGGATGGAACTGCACATTTTTGAGTGGCCTATTATTGTGGCCAGTCTAAGGCACACCTGTGCAATACCCATGCAGTCTGATCAGCATCTTGATATGCCACACCTGTGAGGTGGATGGATTATCTCGGCAAAGGAGAAGTGCTCACTAACACAGATTTTGACAGATTTGTGAAAAATATTTGAGAGAAAAAGGCCTTTGTGTAGATAGAAAAGTTATACTAGCTACAGTAAATTTTTCTTCTGTTGCAGTAAAAAATCCAGAAATGTACACTTGGATGCATTTGATTGGCCAGTGTAGCAACTACCCGAATAATGTCATAATGTTAAACTAAGGCAGGCCAATGGTTGCAGAGATTATGAGGCCTGCCTGTGCAGCCTGTGGTTTATCATTTTATTACGACTAGGGTTTAATTTTAGTCGTGTTGAATTTTAATCTGTAATGACATTGTACTCACCAAGATCTGGGTATGCAGCAACATTACTAAATAGAAGAGCAAGAAACCTGAGAAGCATTTTTAGTTATTTGTTGAAATTCCCTTTAAATGACAGCAATCAATAAATCAAATGCGCTGACATAAATATAATAACAAAGCCGTCATCTGTGGCTGTCGTAGGAATATAATAAGCATGGCCATCAAGCCTGCATACCTGCGCACTCATTGCACATGAAAATGTGTTTTAGGGTAGTGGCTTTGGCTTGGCTTGGATGTTATGTAGCTGTTGCACATCCCTGGTCAATGACCCACTGTGACTGAATGAATATGAACTGATTGCGGCAACACATAATTTGTATAATGGCATCGACAAAGAAGCTGCATTTAATGTGGATCATGTATGTTTATCAGGAATGCCAATCATTGCTTATACCAGATAAATTAAAAGGTCAGCAGCTGCACTGATACATATGGGATCGGTGCATTCCTTAAGTAGTTTATAATCTGGCTTGTTTTCAAAATTGTCTGAATGCATGTTTATTGTCCAATCGGACTGTTATAGCTGTGTTCCAAAATCTAGGAAATGATCTTGAGATTTACAATGTTGCCATAACCAGTAGAACTAATGGCCAAAGCAACGACAA